TTTTTTTGTGTCGAATTAACGTGGTTCAAATGTGCCCAAAGATTTATTTTTGTTTACATTCATCGGTTCCATCCATTTTTACAATTTTAGAAAATCCGCCTGTTTTTTTTGTGTCGAATTAACATGTGTCTTAAAAAATATATGTATAAAAATCAACAAAACCGCTTTTATTTGTATTCAACACAAATAACCGCTTATTTGTATAACCGCTTTTATTTGTATATTAATAATTTTTTGTATCTGAAAAGGAACAATTAATTTGAAAAATCAGGTAAAAAGTAGTAAGATCTCAAAAACAGAAAATCTAAAACTTGAAGCAAAAAAGAAGCCATTTTAAATTTGAATAAGAAGAATGGGTTTCTCCACTCTTTCTCTAATTCTCTAACTATTTCATTACCATTTTAGAACAGGACACTTTGTTGCTGTCTATATTTTCTCGACCACTTTGTCGCAGTGATTAAAAATAAGCTCTGTTTTTGTTTCTAAAAACCAACCAAAGTTAAAATTATTTAATAAGAAAGGTGAGCTAATTCAATTAGTTAACCGACCTCAACAAATAAGGATTTAGATTGACTTTTCTTTATAATTGTATTTTAAGGTAAACTGAAAAAAATTAGCCAACGACAAAGCGGGATGTACAAGTTAAATTTAATTTAGAAATAGCACTTTGGGTTGACCAAAAGCAGATTTTGCAGACTTATATGTACAAAACACAGGGTTGAAGAGAGCGGTTGAAAGAAAATGCATAATCCTATTAAAAAAATAAATTGATTACCCCAATAAGTACCTAATAAATAGAGACAGGATTTTTAGGCACGATAAAGTTAAAAATAGGCGCCTATATAGGCACTAACAAACTGCCAAAATAGGCACTAAAATTCAAAAAAAAGGCAAAATAGGCAGTATTTTTTCGGGGTTTCTGATTTAAATTGACTAAATTTTATCAAAAAAGATAAATTTAAGCAATAAACTGTTAAGTAAATTAATTTTGACGATAAGAATTACATATAAATTAATTTGTATTAATTATTTTGTAACCAAAAATAATTTGATAAATTTTTCAGAAGAAAATTTTTTCCAAAAAGATTTTTTGACAAAAATTTTTTGAAAAATTTTATATTTTTTACCAAAAATAATTTTTTAGACAGTAATTTTCTCAAAAAATGCCCAAAAATTTTCAAATTTTAGTAAAAATATGCAAAATAGGCTGAAAAAAGGCAAAATAGGGCATTTTGTCAGAGAAAGCTAAAATAGGCAATTTTAGGCAACGATAAAAGTTGTTTAAAAGCACATTTCTTAAAAATAACGCCTGATTTGGACGTTTCAGCATCAGGCCTATTTAGGAAAAAAACAGGCATTTTGCCTAAAATCCTGTCTCTACTAATAAATAAAGCGCCAAATCATTACACGCCAATCGTTGCATTTCCAGAAATATACTACATATCAGGGATGGGTCGGGTCAGAAAAATGGATCGGTTCGGTGTTGCCAGAAAGCCAGCTCTTTCTTTTTTAGCGCTCCAGGGCTAATTGTGGAAGGCCGAAAAGCCAGATTTCTTTAAAAAATTTTCTTTAGAAGGTGTTTCAGATCTGTTTCGGTTAACCCGACCCATCCCTGATACATGTCCAAGGGACGCATGCCCATTCAGACAAGACCCCTACAAAACGTGATTAGGTATTTTGAAACCCCAAAAATTTTGAAAAAAAACCTGCAAATAACTCGAGAGCATTCATCATATAATTAAATAATCAGAATTTGTCACAATCAAACGAGCACCATCACTCATCCACTTCATCTTGAAAGATTTTTCTGCTGAAAATCTTCTGTTTAAGCGAATTTTTATCACCTATTTAAACCTATTTTGGCTTAGGTTGTAACCTATTTCTAAGGTTGGTATGTTTTTTGTCACTTATTCTGGTTGTTTTTTGTAAAAATCCGATTTTTATCAAAAATTTTCAACATACGATTTTTAAAAATTCTTTGTCAATTATTCTTATCACCCAAAAATTTTTTTTCAATTTTTGAGAAAATATTATTTTCAAAAATTTAAAAAATTTTCTTAATTAATAATTTCCAATGAAAATTTTAAATATTGTTGCATCAGTTTTACACTCTTTTAATAATTTATTTTCATGTGAATGCCCTTTTAATTCAAAATACAAAATTTTGCTTTTGATTAATAAAAAAATATTCAATTTTATACTTGATCTATTGAATAAAAGAGTCAGTGAATTAATTTAAAATAAAATAATCATTTATAAAAAAATTTAAATTCGATAATTCTTTAATTAAAAAATTTTTATTGAAAAAAATTAAAAATTGCGGCAATGCCCAATTTAAAAATTTTATTATTTTTCAACTTTTTCTTTTTAATTTTTCAATATTCCTCTTGTATTATTCAACACGATCAAATTTTCCATGTGGAATCTAAACAGATGCAATCCAATCATCAATCAACTGGATCTAATATATCCTTTAATTAAATTGATAAAATTGAGATTGAAAAAATTGAAGTTGGATTTGAATTTAAATGAAGATCAGCAATATGTTACAGAAATTGTTATTGAAATAAATGAAATTAAAAATTTTTCTTTTTATATTTCAATATTTCAAGATCCTTGCTGGAGGAGACAGTCGACTAACAATTATAACACAAATAATGCAATTAGAGGCGAAAATGGAAAAAAACAAATGAGAATTGAAAGGGATTACACAGACGACTTTAAGTTAGGAATTTTAATTTGTGGATTAGATGATCTTATAGGAGAGGTAATTTTATTAATTTTAGAAAAAAGAAAATTTGTTTTCGCATAAGCGAAAAAAATATTTTAATTTTTCGGATCATAAAGGAATACAAATTTGCAATACAGAAATAAGGAAACTAGAATAATTTTGAAAATAAAAAAAACTTATTTTTTTCATTTAGACACTTTTGATAATTTATCCAATTTTCTACGCTAAAATAGATTTGGAAGTAGATAATGAAGTAAATACTGAAGTAAATAACGAGGTAGTTAATGAGTTAGATAATGAAGGAGATATTGAAGTAGATAGAGAAGTAGATATAAACGGAATAGATACATATTTTAATCATCAAGGTGGACTCCATAAATTGATTAAAATAGATTGTTTCCTAAATCCAGAAGGACCTAGAAAATTAATTAAAAATAAAAAATTTATTGAAAAGGGAAGAAAATTATTAGGTAAAAACAATTTTATTGATAATTCTGTAATAAATGTACAACATCGAAAATCAGAAATGGAGGGAATTTCGTATATAAATATTTGTTTGAAATTTGAAAATTCGGGGAAATATAAAATTAGAGTATTGACTCCACTATTTTGGAGGGAACCAAAAATGGAATTACATTTTTATATTAAAATTGATGAAAATAAAACAAAATGTTTATCTAAAAAATTTGTTGATTATAAAAATCAAAACGAAATTAATCTTTTAAGTCAATTAAGAGAAGGCATAATGATTCATGTAATTAATGATAATCATGATTATTCGGATTATCATACAAAATTAGAAAAAGTTGACAAGTTTAATGAAGATGAGTTTGATGATCTTGATAATTATACTTATTTAAAACCTTTATTCAAAGAATATATTAAATTTGTTGAAGAGGTAAATAAAAATAAGAAAAAACGAAAAAGAAACGAATGAAGAAACGAAAACAAGTAAAGAAACTACATATTTAAAAATTTCACTGTAAAAAATTCTAGTTTTTTTAAAATCTGAGAAAAAATTTTGAGTCAGGAATCAGGGTAGATTCAGAATGAATTTATAATTATTTTTATTGGAATAAAACCAGACAAATTTAATTAAGAAACATCTGACTCGATCCGTTCTAGTAAGAGAAAGATAATTTTCTAGTTTTTATTATTCTAGTTTTTATTATTATTTATTTTTGTTTTTATTATTTATTTTCTAGTTTTTATTATTCTAGTTTCTATTATTATTTATTTTCTATAATAGTTTTTATTATAATTTTCTAGTATTTATATTTTTTAAATATTTTTTTTAAATTTCTGCTTTTCCTAAAATTTTCCATTTATTATAATTGCTTATTTCATTTTGTAAAATTAAAACAGAATTTATATGTACAAATTTAATTAAGAAACATCTGACTCGATCCGTTCTAGTAATAAATATGTAATTTTTTTCCAAAATTTATTTTTAAATTTTGATAAAATATTTTTTTAGAAAAATAATTTTAAGGAATAAAATAATTTTAATGATTTATTTCTGATTTTCTTTTTTTTTAAATGAAAATTAAATTTCATTCGATGTAATTTTTTTCGAAATTTTTTTTTAAATTTTTGATAAAATATTTTTTTAGAAAAACAATTTTAAAGAAGAAAATACTTTTAATGATTTATTTCTGATTTTCTTTTTTTTTAATTGAAAATTAAATTTTATTTTAAATAAAAAATTATTTAAAAAAGAAAATAAACATGGCAGTAAAACCTAATAAATTTAATTGTATTATAAAACTTATTTTCAATTATAAAAAATTATTTAAATAAAAAATTATTTAAAAAAGAAAATAAACATGGCAGTAAAACCTAATAAATTTAATTGTATTATTGTTGGCAAGGGAGTTTGGGATTCAAGAGGAGAGCAATAGTCCGTATGAGGATGGACTATCCACGCACTGCTCTCCGAGCCAAGCCACAAAAGAGATTGAAGAAAGGGAGGAGAAGTCAATAGTCGACTGTCACAATGATAACAAAAAACAACAAAAAATAAATTTATTTCAGCCAAATAATAATACGCGCACAAATATATTAAAATGGAGGAGGGTAATAAGAGCAAGGAATAGTTTAAAGAACTAATGAATAAATTCTCCAAAAAATTGGATTTAAATAGAGGCTGGCAGGTCTGCCTGGGTGTGGCTTATTCCGACCAGCCAGTTTGAAAAAGGGGGCGGAGCTTATAAAATGTGTGAAAAAATAGAGAAGGGGGAGGAACAAGAACAAAAATTAAATTAAACAATTAGAGTAATAAAACGGGGGAAACGAGTATACTTGAGTATATAATTAAAATAAACTGAATGAAAGTCGCCATTGGCGACATACCCCCGCCAAAAAGGTCGACTATTCCGTCGACTGTTCTTATCTTCCTTCTCTTCTCAATTCTTTTTCCCAACATCCTTTCCTTCATTATTCTGGGCAGCAATAGCACTCTTAAAGCTGGGACGTGTGAGGAGCACTTCTTCCAGTTGACGTGCATTTTTGAAGGCAGCGGAGTTCCGGTTATTAAAGCATTTGAAGTTGGAGAGAGAGAGTTACGACGACGGCGATTATTATAAACTTTAAGAATGTTGCTGTTCCAGTCTGTTGGTTGAGGTTGAGGTGGTTCAATGTTGTTGCTGCGTTGCTGCTCCTTTGGAGTGGTGTCCGCAAGAATTCTATTGCTTTTTCGAATAAACGCTTTTACTTCTTCAGGGTTCCAGGTGCGGTGAGGTTTTGGCTTTTCATTCTTTTTAGCTTCATAGACTTCCTTAACTAATTTCCAAGTATGAGGGTGAGCAAGGTGGGAAGTTTGTGTTGGATTGCGCTGCTTTTGACCGTCAAGAAGACGTAATTGGCTGACCATATTTGTAACTCTACGCGACATCATATTACGCCAATCTGCCATTCGTAAGGGTCGCTCAAATTCCATTTCTTTTAACTTTTCTTTTGTCAATTGGTCCCCAATGTAATCCAAAGAGTCAGGGTCAAGCATGGCGTCATAGCTATAAGTTTTATCAATAGGGCGCTCACCAAGTTCACGTTCAAATGCTGCCTTTTTCTTTTCTGTTGTTTCTTTTTGCTCTGCTGATTGTACATATTTCGAAACCATCTGTTGGAAAGAAGAGGGTACTTTCTTTACTGGTGCCTTAATATTTAACTGTTGTTTTGCCACTTTTCTCGCGTTGTTTTTTAAGTCTTCAGCTTTCTTATTTGCAACAAAAACTTGGCCGAATGCAGGACGAGGCACGTCTTGAGTTAACTTTGTTGGTACATCGATTCCCCATTGACGTGGATCTGGTGCTGGAAGTGTTTTGTGTGGAATGATGGGTGTTGTTGGTCGCTCTGGAGACGAAAATGTGGATGTTTTTGCTGAGGATGTATTTGATGACACAGTGCCAGCTGATGGAATTGTTGCTACAGTAGTTGTTGTTTTTGATGTACCGGCTCCAAATTGTCCACTAACAGTAAGTTTTTTAATTAAGGCAGTTTTGGCACGTCGTACTGCTTGTTTGTCGGTGAAGCCAAGTTGTTTAATCCAAGTCTTTCTACGAAATCCATTGTTGTAATATGGGCAGATGATGTCTCCTGGTTTATGTCCAATTGGATCCTTGTTCTTGAAGTCACAAACCAAACAGACAGAAGGTATTGGAGTCATATATTTAGCTTTTAATTTATTTCTCTCTTTTTCTGAGAGATATGGAATATTAGCCTGTGCCATAAAAAAGTGATTAGTTTTGAAAATGATATGTGAAGTTGGACATGAGTAATTGGAAATAGGAGGAGCCAAATTTTTAAATGGTTTAAGCGCGAGAAGCCAAAGACATAAAATTGTAATGAAAAAAGTCAATTGAACTGGAGATGTGTTGGCACGTGTGTAAGCCATTCTCTCCTTGTAAGTGGGTGGGCCTTTCTTAGCAAAAGTTGAACATAAACATCGATGGCCAAAATTTTCTTTTGTTTTGTATAACTGTTTATCTTTATACAATCCTCTCTGCAATGGGCCAAAAGCAGGCAGAGAAGAAGAAAACACATGTGGGCATAGAACAGAGTGTGGATGAGCATAATCATTAAGAAAAGAGTTGGCCAAGCGTTCGCGATTAGATGTCCCAGTTGAGTTGGGCTGCCTGCGTATAGTCGGCTGTCCAGGACGTTTAGTCGCCGGAGAATAAATACTTTGTGAGAATTTAGTCGACTGTTTACTATTTACTGAAGGACAATTAGTCGACTGTCGCTTGTTCTTCACTGGACAAAATTTAGTCGACTGTTGCCAATTCTTTGCTGGTGAAAATTTAGTCGACTGTTGCCAATTATTTCCCTTTCGATTAAAAGCTGATTTTGATTGAGGAGGAACACCAATAGGTTGAATAAAGATATTCGAACGGCAATTAACTTTTCGATAAGGTGGTGTATTTTCTCTATGAAGAGGAGCATTTGAGTATGAATGGTTCTGCCCTTGATTGAAGCCCCCATTACTGAATCCAGATTCTTTCATTATAATTACTGGAGATACGGGTATGGTTGGGTATTGACGAAGTTGTTCAGAGCTCCCGTGTGTGTCTTGCGTTGGCGACGGAGTCGAATGATCAGAAGGTTGACTGCGTCCCCAATTATCAGACGGTGGTTTTGAGTCTGGTGGTTGCGAAATGTTGCTTTCTCCACTGTCATCACAATTGATCTCCAAATAAGAAAAATCTTTCAAATCATTTTCTATTTGCTCTGTAAGGATCCAATGAAGCCGTTCTGGTGGCACAAACTCGTAGTGGCGGTATCCTTGTCTCCAACACGCTTTACCACGGTTTCTTCGGAGTGACTTCTTACTGCTCCCCCGGTAGCCGTGCCTTGTCATTTCTTTCTCCAAGGGGTTGCCAAACATAACGCATTTCATATCGGGTTGTTCGAGTGTGACACCCTGACTCGAGTAGTATTGTTCTACAGTGACGTTTGGCATGATGAGTTCTTCATTGGCTGGGAGTTGGCTAAATCCAGAAAGACCAACAGGGCGTCTCAGAGTCGACTTGGCAGTAAGCATCTCAAGACTTGCTTCCTCGCCCTCGATCATTTTGGCGATTGAGACCCCAGCATCAAAACGTATCTTCTCATCTAAGTTCCAACCAGAGTGGTGAAAATCGAGCCAATGATCCAACTGACGTGGTTTCAATTCAGCAGGAAGACGGTACGACATATTGTTCAAAATTAATTTTTTAAAAGTTTTAAAATGAATGAAGATGTGCCAACGGCGTAAGATATATATAGGCCTGAAGGTGCGTTGCCAAGTTGTAAAATTATTGTTTGTGTTGAAAGTGGGCGGAGCCAAAATCCTGTTGATAATGGGTGGAGCCAAAATTTTTGAATGGGTGGGTGTGTCTTTCAAGAATAATAGTCGAGACTCGAGACAACATGTCAAAAAGGTCGAGACTCGAGACTCGAGGTCCAAAATCGAGACTCGGAATTTTTGTTGTTCAAAGCATGTTAGGTCGACTGTAAACGTTAATGTAGCAGAGATGATGTGTTCCTTATGCCTGTAGGGCCCTCCGGGGGCCTGAGTTGCGAAACAAAGTGACATGAAGGTGATTATGACAACAAGTCGTGCCATTGCTTTCCAGGCTCGGAATACTGGGTTGAGTCGAATGAATAAATAAAGTAGCCCAATTCCAAGAATAAGTGCCAGTATAAGTGAAGTAACACTCGACAGTGAGGTCAATATTGAGGCGAGTGCTAGTGGGTCAAATCCAGTGTCCCACCAATTTCCTGAGGGTAAATCAAGTGTTTCAGAGTCTCGATAGCCATGCTGAAATCTTTTCTTGATTGGCACATAATACAGCGCTCCAGTTAATTCAAATTGTGTTTCGCCGGCGGGACAATCGACACGACATTTTGTTTTTATCTGAGAATGGTCGAAGGGTAGATTTTCTCTTCCCGAAGTGCCATTTGGTGAACATCGAGCTGAGAATACGGTACCATCGGCGCATTCAATGTTGGCAAGGGCATCCCCTTGATCTGTTGAACATGTATACTGTAGTTGGGCGCCACTTTCACACTTATAGCATCCCGTTAGGTTGTGTGGTTGGATGGTGCATCGAGCTTCTTGAAATTCAAGTAGTAGTTCCAGGTGCTTCATCTGGACATGTAACTGTAAGGGCGAGTATCCATAGTCGGCAAATATATTTCCTCTTTCATTTCTGATCAACAATTTGGCTACATTAAGTGGTAGTCGGACACTAGAGTCCATTAGTGTTCTCTCAAGGTTAAGGTCGCGACAACTGCAGGCGACATTGCCTGAGGAGTGATCATGTATACAGTCGATGCAAACAGAGTTTGAAATACTGCAGTTAAATAGTCTGGCGTCTGATTCGGTTGAACAGAGCAAGTCTCGGGGTATATTCTCTACCATAGCGACGCTGCTTCCATCAGTGATGAATTGCCGGTTCAACACTGGTGCAGGAGGTACAGCGGCAGCGAGGGGCGTCAAAGAAACATTGTTCCAATGAAAGGTCATACCAGGGTGTAGTATTATTGACTCCATAAGGGGCTTTTTTCCACTAACTTCTAGTTGTATGTCTGCATGTATGTTAAATTCCCAGGTAGGGCATGAAATGAGTTCGAATGTGTTTCCAGTGGTTGGTCGTGCAAAGTAGCGGTAAAACAGGCATGCGTCGGTCGGTAGGCCGCATCCGTAAAACCAAAATGATGAACTTGGTTCACAACGTGATATCCCTGGTAAGTTGTTGACCTCTCGTAATTCTGGTATAATTGTTGAAGGTCTGACTTCTGAACAGTAATTATTCTTGCATGAACCACTGGACGGACACCTCTTGATTGCTAGTGTGTCCATTTTATAGCTTCTGAACCATCCTTCAGATTTTGGTACACAATTCATCGTAAGAGCATCTACAATTATGCTTAGGGTTCCAAGAGCAATTCCGTGTTCATTCCTGAGTAACAAAGTGGTTGTTTGGCCCTTTGGTAATAAAGTTAAAGTTGTAGCATAGTTAAGCACGCATGAGATTCCTGTCGGTCCTCGTTGGCAACTTTCTGACTTCGTAGTGACTGCAATAGTATTGGAGGAATCTGTATAGTTGGCCAAGGCTAGTAACACGACTAAAGGTATCCAATTTGAAGGTGCTGGTCGTCTACCAAGTATTCGGTCCAGGTGAGCACGTCTCCATTCCTGTCCGGTTAGTTGAAGGTTGCGACTTGCTTGGTTCAATTGTTGTCTCATAATACGAGCTCTTGCTGCGATTCCTGTAGTTCTAGCCAAGGTTTGAGCTTGTTGTGTAGTTTTCCTTGTACAGAGTGTTCCACATCCCACTATACAGTAACATATTGACATAAGTGCATGAACATTAAAACTGCAAATGCGGAGTAGACAGAGTGTGCATCCACACATGCAAAGGGTGAAGCACATCAAAATTCCGGTCAAAAACGCAGCCCATCTTGGGCTACAGTTTGGATTTGCGACATGGTCGATACAAAAGAGACAGTCGATCAAGGAGCAGTCTCCCACTGCTGGGCAAGTAGTGTGTACGGTGCAAGTTTCGCTGGCAGTTGTCCAGAAGTAACTCTTACAAGTATAGTCGCGTAATAACATCTCCTGAGGTAGTTCATAAGTGACATTCGATGACGCTTGTTTAATTAAGCAATCTCCCTCACAACAAATCTCTAGTTTTGTGATTTCCTGAGGGCTGCTGATCACGATTCCTTTGGTTGTACAGGCAAGTAAACACTTAGAGCAGTCTACTAGAGCTGTTACCGACAAGAGCATACTGATAAAGAGTATTATTGTCAAAGCCCAAGGCGCAATGACAGGTAGGTTCACGGTTGTTTTTCCTCTGGGGCGGAGGTTCCACACCTTCCTGGTTGGTTTCTCGGCTGAACTTTGTTCTGGTACTGGTTGAGTTGGCTCCGGGTCCTCGGATTGTTCAAGTTCCATAGCTCGGTCTCCCGGTTGCTTTGTTATTTTCTCTGGCTCTTTGCCTAGTTCCTGGTGATTATTAGGTTCTGTAGTCAACTCCTCAGTTGGCCGTGTGCATTCTAGTGGGTAGAGTTTTGAGACCGGCCTTGTGGTGATGTGCCCGTTGGGCAACTGTAATTTAACACTTCTGACGTATGGTGGTGAGCCATTAAGTTCAGTTACTCGCGCAATTTGCCAAATATTGCGTGGGTGGAGATCATCTCCAATTAGTACTACTTCTCCGACTGAAGGTGGTCGATATTGCTTGAGGCGAGGTCCTTTGTGTTTCCAGGCTGACCTTTCACGTAGCATAGTCAAATATTCGGTTACCCACTGATCCCAGAATGCTTCCAATGCTACTTGAGTCCCTTTCCATAGAGCAATGAGTTTGTCCTCCGGGGGTGCCTTACGGTCATATTCATTATAGTCACAATTTTCGATTGGTAGGTCCACTATGGCGCCAGGTTGAATAAGGTCGATTGGTCTAAGTGGCCTCGGGGCATCCTGTGCTTCTGATACATAAGCAAGTGGACGATGGTTGAGTACCGCCTCGACTTCTGCAGTGAAGGTTGATAGTTCATCGTAGGTGAGTACACGTCGTCCTACG